ACTCTGATTCCCACAATGGACGAATGGCTGCAAAAGTTGATGGCATCGGCAGAGACGGCTAAACTGACTGCTTTGATTAAAGAACAGAATACAATTAATTTTGTTTCGACTTGGAAACCGCTTCTGGACTTTGTGCTTGAGGTGGATAAAAAAAATGAAACTTTGATTTGAGGTTTTGCTCAATAGGTAGGCTTGTTGTGGTGGAAACGGCCAGTACATAGGATAATTTAAAGTAAAAAGTTGAAGTTTTATGTTATTACGGTACCTTATTCTACTGCACCAAGAGTCAAGGTCAACACTTTTATTTTTCTTTTCTCCTTTATCCTACACTTTCTCCTCTTCCCCTTTTCCCCTATTTTCCCATTATTTTCATTTTTCTTTGTATTTCTGTATTTTATATTTTGGTAAACTAATAAAATATTTGAACCAGAAAATGCTGCTCTCGCCATAGTCTTGTTTTTGGGATGCAGCTCTAGGGCTTTTAGCTCAATAGCAAGGAACTAAACCAGACATGTCAAACACAAGGCCCGGGGGCCGGATGCAGCCTGCAAAGTGGTTTCATGTGGCCCGCGAAGCCATCCTGGAAACAGTGAGGGAACGGCCCCCGCTGCCTTGGCCCTGGCCCAGGCCGGCTGGGAGTCAATGTACAATTTTGTGGTGCCATCTATGCTGAAACGCATTCAGTCTTAGCTCCACAAGGCCGTCTGGAAACACCGAGGAACCAGCCCCTGCCGCGTCAGCCTCGCCCCCTGGGTGCATGCTGGGGAGGGGTCCCCCTTTGTGAGGAATGAAGAAATGCACCATCGCCTAGAAGTGGCCAGCAAATGGCCCTCGCCTACTTCACATATCCGGCTTGGGGTTTCAGCAGGCTCCTCCAGTGGACCATGCCTTGGCGCTTGCCCTGGTCCCACCCCCTTCTGCCAGAGACCCTCAGATCTGTCCCACTCCTGCCCAGGCCCCCACAGGCACCCTTGACGCAAATGATGTAGAGCTGGCTATGCCCACCCAGTAGGCCACACCCATTCCACACCCACCCAGTAGGCCGCACCCACCCTGGCCACACCCACCCGGCCTCCCCGAGGGCAACCGCAATGCTGATGCGGCCCTCAATGAAATTGAGTTTGACACCCCTGAACTAAATGGAGGCAGCTTCTAGGTAGCCACCAACGGCCCTTGCACATGCTGCAGAAGAAAACGGCCCAGGGCAGCATTCCTTGGCAAAGTGCACGGCTTCCTGTCATTCTGTTTGCCTTGCTTATTTTAAGCATTAACTGGTAAGTGATGGAAAAAGACCAAGAGGGAACCCTGCCATCCTTTCAGTCATACGATTTCGGCAAACATTGGCCACCTTTTAGACATGCACTTGCAGTTGCAGAGATAAACCTGGGCTTTGCCAGATGTTGAAAGTTTCAACATCTGCCTTTTGCACACTGCCAACTGGGTCACCTTCGCAGGTAGGTGGATTGTAACAAACATGTGAGTTACAACTCTACCCTGAGCCCACGTACAGCCTGACCATGGGCCACCTGAACAATAGGCCATAGAGGCCGGTTAAGGCAAGACAAATGCGTTCTCACTTCACACGTAAGCTGTAAAGTGTGCTTTGCAAACTGCAATGGCAGGGGATGTCTGAAAGGCAAACAAATCACATTACACTTTAGCAAGAGGTGCAAACACAGCCCACGTTTGTGCCACAACCTTCTTTATAGATAGGGGTGTCCAACCTTGGCAACTTTATGGCTGGCTGGGAAATTGTGGGAGTTGAAGTCCAGAGGTCTTAATGTTGTGCCAAGTTGGTACCCATGTTTTAGATCAAACTTTCCATGTGAGGCGTAGGGCTGCCCACACAGCCTGCCTCCTAAGGCACAAAGGCACCCCACTAACCATTGGCAGAGGACATGACCTCACCTTGCTTCCTCAATGGCTGAGGTGACCCAAGTTACTTGGGGCTACCTGCATGAAAGTGGCGTTTTCCCCGTGCCATCAGGTTCGCCCGGAGGACAGTCTCCGGTGACCTAGCTAGGATGGCCATCTCTCTGGTTTCTGTATACCCAGAGCCCCCAGGGCCCTTTTGCTGCCTTGCCCATTTCTTCTGGTGAAGTTGGGAGACTGGAAGATGCTGCCGCTCTTACAGGAGATCCATATTCTCACTAGTGGAGCAGAAGAAACGGAGAAAGAACGAGTGTCTTAAATGGCTCCAGAGGAGTGGAATGTGTCAGCGGATTGTAAAGACACACACATACACAAACATGCATACACACAGAGACACAGAGACACACATACAGCAAAAGAGAAGGCTCTTTGCCTGATCAAAAACTGTTTCACTGAGAAAAAAATAATAATCCAGGAACATGGACAGCTCTCTAGTTTGAGCTCGTCTGATTTCAAACCAGCCTTTTCTGGGGTGGTGGGGGATTGTTTGACAAGAATATTAAAATTTCGTTCCCCCCCCCCCCCCCCGTTTCACAAGTGCTTCCATCTAGAGGTAGTTGGGATTACTTCAGGTTCAAACCTAAATATCTGAATCCCACCTTCAATTATCTCAGCATCTTCTAAATGCATTTTTAGCATTGTTTCATGATCTCCAGCATACAGTAAATAATAATGTTAAAGCTAAATTAAATAATAAATAAGCCTTGATCTCCTAACCCCCTCCCCCCACCGGGGCACATTTTTGGAAAGCTGATAAGTGGTTTGTTTTCCCACCAGTAGCTATTACTGGGTGGCCTGGGAAAAGGTGGATGGGAATCCACCAGCCGGCAGTGCTACATTTTGTCTGAGGACAGTAACTCTGTCTGGTGATGCTACAGAAGCACATCAAGATTGACCGCAGGGTAGTGCAATTTATGCCACAAGGACAGGAGAAAAGCACAACTGTGGCTAGAAGGAAGAGCCCATAAACCCTCCTCTTATTCTATAGATGGCTGGCTTGGATCAGGTGTAAAAGGACATGATTGCCAAAGGGATGCCATTTTCATCTTATAGCTGTGGCTACCGAGAGACTATCTCTTTATTACATGATAGAATCATACAGATTTGTACAGAGACACGGTTCTCACATCTATACACAATTCTCAGGGGCAATCTCCAACCTTGGAAAAACATCACAAGAAAATAGTGTCCGGAAATGAACAGCTTTGCACGGCCTTGGAAAGTTACTAAGAAGAGCAGAAGGGGGATCATAATCACCATCATTATCATAAAATTACCTTAAAATTGTAGCTCTTTGAGAATAGGAGCTGAGCTCCCTACGGATCCCCCAGAACAAGGCGGGCCAACGTGAGAGAGGCATCAAAATAAACTGCGAAGGAAGAGCCCTTATATCTACCTACCTGTTCACGGAAAGAAGGGGCTGTCTGAACAGCACGCTGCAAGAAATGGCTGGGTTGGGATTTTTCTTTGATCAAGAAGAGTGGTGGGTCAGAGACCACTAAGGCCCAGCATTATTGAGGGTCTCAGTTTTGCCCATGCCAGGCCGAAGTTGCTGCTACTCAGGGCTTTTTTTGTCATAGAACGCCCAGAACGGAGTTCCGGCACCTTTTTTGGATGGAACCTTGTAGGGTAGGCAAGGCGGGTTGTATGACGTGTGTGAGTTCTGGCACCTTTTTTTTTTTTTTAACAAAAAAAGCACTGCTGCTACTGATCACAAGGGGAGGCAAGGTGGGGGGCTGGACATGGGGCTTCTGCCATGGTGGACAGGCAAGGAGATGCTGGACTTATATCTGAGGCGGCCTTTTCTTCATTTCCAGTTCCAAGCGTCTCCACTAAGGGGCTAAGGGAAAGATTAGGCTGGGCACCCCTGGGGGGACCAAATGGACTGGAGCAGGGGTAGGCAACCTTGGCTCTTTTATGACTCGTGGACTTCAACTCCCAGAATTCCTGAGCCAGCCAAGCTGGCTCAGGAATTCTGGGAGTTGAAGTCCACGAGTCATAAAAGAGCCAAGGTTGCCTATCCCTGGACTGGAGCATCTCACTGGCTTGATGGTTTCCTGGTGCAACGAGCTTGCTCTCTGCTAGGGAAGCTTGCCACAATGCAGATCTGATGGGCTCGGCTAGGACTGGGGAGATGCTGGGTCAAGTCCCCCCTTTATCCATGAAAACTCAGGGGCTTCTTGGAATCTGCCACTCTTCTACTCTACATCCATCCCAGGGTCACTGCTTGGGGATAAAAAGAATGGGGTTCCCCTTGCCTCGAACTCCTCAAGGCATTCTGAGAGAGCAACCTAACAAACCAAGTAACCAAAACATAAATACAAGCTACTCTGCTCCCACATATCTGACCAAGAGACAGCAGAGCGGAAGCTGGTGTGGAACGGGCACCAGAGCTTCTGCTGAGCAGGTGCTGGGCTGGGTGAAGAGGGGACTTCTCTGCTTTTGCTGCCATTCAGCTCCAGAGAGAAGGCTTCGGCCACCCTCCTGCCTGCGTGGATCACTTCCTTTAGGAATCTGCTTTCCCAAGAGAACAGGGAACTGGAAGGAAAGACTCGCTGGCTACGTTTGCAACCACCGGAAAGGACGCCTGGAGACCCGGAGGCGGAAGAGGGAGCAAATCAGTTCTTTTGGGGGCAAAAGGATCTTGTCACACCACCTTTCCTTTGGGGCACCAGGCAGCCCCTGAGCAGGTGGACTGTTCCCAAACGCCACCTGCAGACTTGGTAACACCTCCCTGAAATAAAGGAGTTCTCGGAAAGGCCATAAAAAGTAGGGAAAGCCAGGGCACTTTGTCCGTGCCTCCTCACCCCTCGGATTCTAGCACTCAGGTTTAGCAACCACGGAATATCCCTGTGAAAAAAAGAAATGTCTCTGATGCGGAGAAGTCTGTAGAGATCTGCAGCGAGCCCCCCTCTCTTTTTTCTGAAGGCAGTTTCCATAGAAATGGGCACAGACGTGTCCTCTGCAACGCCTCTTCCATGCTGAGAGACAACTGCCAGACTTGGACCCAAAGCAGCCAAACTGTGGGCAAGAAAGCACCATGCTGCAGCCTTCCTTGAGCTCTCTGGTCACCAGGCAAGCGGGGGGATCATCTTCGGGCTGCACAGGGGCTCACTGGCCTGCACATCGTTGAAGGCCCGCTATGGAGAGAAGAGCATCATAGAATCATTAGGGCTGGAAGGGACATTGGAGGTATTCTAGCCCAGGGCTTTTCAACCTTTTCACCCATTGTACCACTTTTAGGATATGGCAATATCTGAGCCTAGCAAGGTGCCAAAAACTTGATGACCAAAAGAAAAGGAAAAAAGTGATAAAGTACAGGTAGCCCTCGACTTACAACAGTTTGCCTAGTGACTGTTCGAAGTTACAATGGCACTGAAAAAAGTGCCCCCCAAGCCACAGCCGAGCAAGACACCTGCCTGCCCGCCCGGCGGCGCTCTTCCTCCTGTCCGAGGTTTCCATTGTTGTGAGCATTTCTGTTGAGGATTGACAGCAGGGGTGGGGTGGGGGGTGTTTGGTTTTTATTCCCCCCGTCTGCTGGGTGGTTGCAGCAGGTTTTGGTCACTTCACATGACCCTGGGACACTGTGACCGTCATAAATATGAATCAGTTGCCAAGCATCTGAATGTAAATCACAAAAGCCTGGAGATGCTGCAACATTCCAGCTGATCGGCGCTTCTTCTGGGCTCAGCAGAAGCACCAGGATCAGTGCTGCTTTCCAGCTGATCGGCGCTTCTTCTGGGCTCAGCAGAAGCACCAGGATCAGTGCTGCTTTCCAGCTGATTGGTGCTTCTTTAGGGCTCAGCAGAAGCACCAGGATCAGTATTGCTTTCCAGCTGATCGGCGCTTCTTCTGGGCTCAGCGGAAGCACCAGGATTAGCGCCGAGCTCCAGCTGGAGCCTGGCGCTGATCCTGGCACTTCCACTGAGCCCTGACAGTCCTGGAGAAGCGCCGATTAGTTGGAAAGCGGCACTGATCCTGGCGCTTCTGCTGAGCCCTGACAGCCCTGCAACTCCAGCCATCTCTCGCTCAGGCTTGTGCGGTGCTGCCACTGGTTCAGCTCATTCCCCTCCCCCGCTACCACTTTTCTAGGATGGTGGCGTACCACCTGCCAGGTGCCAATGTACCACAGGTGGTACCCGTACCACTGGTTGAAAAGCCCTGTTCTAGCCCATCCCCTGCCCAAGACAGACAGCCATCAAGCACAAGGACATTCTAGCCATTAATTTAAAACCTCAACAACACATTTCCATGTCTTAAGGATGGGGAGGTCCAGAAGGAGACAACTCAACACACCCCAGTTCACTGCACAGCAGGTGTGTACAGAGAAAACAGAGGCAATTTTGATGAGCAGCTTGAGCCACAGACAGCCCTCTGCTTCTGGGTACTCCAGCCTGATGCTTGTGGAGGTGGTTGTGCCAGGTTCTTGCTGCCTTCTGCCACCTACCACAGTTTGCACAAAATAGTGTGGAAGCTGCAGTTACGAATATGACAGTTGATAGGACAGTGATGGCGAACCTTTTAGAGACCGAGTGCCCAAACGGCAACTCAAAACCCACTTATGTATCGTCGGGTGCCGGGTGGGCTTGGCCCATTGGGTGGGCGTGGCCCATTGGGTGGTGGGCGTGGCTGTGGTGGTAGCGGCAGACTGGGTGGGACTAAAAAGTTTAATCAATCAATTCCAACTTTGCGAGATTTTTTTTTCCCGCAAGAAGTTGAAATTGATTGAACCTTTTTTTTTTTGCACACGGTGGCGGAGGCCTAAAGCAAAAAGGTTTATAAAACCCAGCTGAAGGCCTAGGACAGTGATGGCGAACTTTTTAGAGACCGAGTGCCCAAACTGCAACCCAAAACCCACTTATATATCGTCAGGTGCCGGGTGGGTGTGGCCCATTGGCTGGGTGTGGCCCATTGGATGGGCGTGGCCAATTGGCTGGGCGTGGCTGTGGTGGTAATGGCAGACTGGGTGGGATTAAAAAGTTCAATCAATCAATTCCAACTTTGCAAGATTTTTTTTCCTGTGAGAAGTTGAAATTGACTGATTGATTGAACCTTTTTTTTTTCACACGACGGCGGAGGCCTAAAGCGAACAGGTTTATAAAACCCATCTGAAGGCTTAGGACTGGGGAGATGGTGCGCGTGCCCACAGATAGGGCTCTGAGTGCCGCCTCTGGCACCCGTGCCATAGGTTCGCCACCACTGGCCTAGGACTAGGGGGACAGTGTGCGTGCCCACAGAGAGGGCTCTGTGTGCCACCTATGGCATGCATGCCATAGGTTCGCCACCACGGTTATAGGACATGAGGAGAGAGAGCTGAAGTGCAAGCAGCTGGTACCCAGAAATCAAGCACTTCTGCCCGCGTATCCCCATCGTGCTGGTGGGCTGCCAGTTGGACCCGCGCTATGCAGACCTTGAGGCAGTGAACAGGGCGCGTCATTCCTTGGCCAACCCCAACTCCAGAACAGCTTCACACCAGTTCAAATTTCTTTGCTTGCTTGACTGGGTCAACCAGCCCACTGTTCTTTTTCACACAATATGCTTCCCTCCCCATGGCAATGTCCACACACGAGGACACTGCAAATATTTGGGGACTTGTGATTTTATGATCAAAAAAGTTGAATGTGTTGCTGGCTTAAGAGATTTGATGCTCTCATCCTGTCTGGCCTGGGCGATTAGGCATCTTCTTTGGGGGGCAGAACCATTTCCCCCCAATCCTCTAGTCCAGGGGTCTCCAAACTTAGCAACTTTAAGATTTGTGGACTTAAAGTCTGGCTTGGTTGAGGAATTCTGGGAGTTGAAGTCCACAAGTCATAAAAGAGCCAAGGTTGCCTACCCTTGCTCTAGTACAGTGGTTCTCAACCTGTGGGTCGGGATCCCATTTGGGGTCGATCGACCATTTCACGGGGGTCGCCAAGCAAGGCTGTCCGCCATTTTTTTTGTCCGCCATTTTTTTTGTCCGCCATTTTTTTCCCCTTTTCCGGCGGGTGCCTTACCTCCCTTGGGCTGGGCCAGCTGGTGGTCGGCCTGCTCCGTCTCTGCCGGCACAGGGGGCGGAACCACGCATGCGCGGCGCTCCCGGGCAGGGAAAGTCCTCGACTTACGACCGGTTGGGTAGTCCTCGACTTACGACCGGTTTAGTCCTCGACTTACGACCGGTTTAGTCCTCAACTTACGACCGGTTTAGTCCTCGACTTACGACCGGTTGGGGTCGCGGCATTAAAAAGGTTGAGAACCACTGCTCTAGTATAATCTGCTGTATCAAACTCTTATCAAGTCAAAGACATCTCAAGCTGGTGATGAATGAATCAGGGGGCCAATCTGCACCTAACTGGAGGAAACCCACCCTCAATTCCAGAATACCTACTCTTATCATCCAGTCCCCTGCCACCCCTGATGGTCTTTCTTATTCCCTGCAAAAGGGACGTGACTTTCCCGTTTCCTTCACAAGCAGCAAAAGAATTTTCAAGGAACAAACTTGATCTGGGGAGTGGCGGAAACCTGCAGGGCCAGCTAAATTATCTAGGATCCAAGCCAATGGGATCAAGTTACAAACACTGAAAGCGAATGTCCCCAAAGTTAGGAACAACTTCAGGAATTGGGGAGCTCCTTTTGGAAGCTGCTGAGGTATCAATGGTCTATTTCAGGGCTTTTCAACCAGTGGTACGGGTACCACCTGTGGTACATTGGCACCTGGCAGGTGGTACGCGACCATCCTAGAAAAGTGGTAGCGGGGGAGGGGAATGAGCTGAACCGGTGGCAGCACCGCACAAGCCTAAGCAAGAGATAGCTGGAGGTGCAGGGCTGTCAGGGCTCAGCGGAAGCGCCAGGATCAGCACTTCTTCGGGACTGTCAGGGCTCAGTGGAAGTGCCAGGATCAGCGCCAGGTTCCAGCTAGAGCTCGGCGCTGATCCTGGTGCTTCTGCTGAGCCCAAACGAAGCGCCAATCAGCTGGAATGTTGCAGCATCTCCAGGATCTTATGATTTACATTCAGATGCTTGGCAACTGATTCATATTTATGACGGTCACAGTGTCCCAGGGTCATGTGAAGTGACCAAAACCTGCTGCAACCACCCAGCAGACGGGGGGAATAAAAACCAAACACCCCCCACCCCACCCCCACTGCTAATCCTCAACAGAAACGCTCACAACAATGAAAACCTCGGACAGGAGGAAGAGCGCCGCCGGGTGGACAGGCAGGTGTCTTGCTCGGCTGTGACTTGGGAGGCACTTTTTTCAGTGCCATTGTAACTTCGAACAGTCACTAAGCGAACTGTTGTAAGTCGAGGACTATCTGTATTTTATCACTTTTTCCTTTTTTTTTTTTGTTGGTCATCAAGTTTTTGACACCTTGCTAGGCGACTGGTGGTACTCAGATACTGCCATATCCTAAAAGTGGTACAATGGGTGAAAAGGTTGAAAAGCCCTGGTCTATTTCTTAGGCTACGCATACTCCAACTCCATCAATCCCACCGCCCAAAGCCGCAGCTTTCCCCCCCCTGTCTAGGATTGCTAGACACAGTGGCATAAGTGTGGGATATTCCTTTCTCCAGCCTTGTCTCTCAAAGAGTGGCCACGTGATCCACAGGACATTCCTTGCAAGAGAACACAGGAGGGGGGAATGCCAGGACAAGCACGTGCAAAGTCCTCCCCCAAAGGTTCTTCCCCCTCAAGCTTCCCCCAGTTTTCCCCACTGGATTCTTTTTCGGGCTACGAAACAAGCCTGAATGTACAACTGATCAGCACAGATGGAAAAGCACAACCCATATCCACCAGCTTCTCCTCTCTCTGGCCAGCTTCTAAGTGACCATCGCCAATCGAGGTCCTTCAGGTGGACAACGGGGTCTTTAAAAAGGCCACAAGCTCAAATTGGCAGAGTCAAATCTGTTGGGGTTTTCTCAAAGAAAAATAACAGAGCCGTGTTCCAGGCCACGTGGGGATCGGTCTACCCCCAACCTCGGCTCTTTTATGACTCTTTTATGGCTGACTCAGGAATTCTGGGAGTTGAAATCCATGAGTCATAAAAGAGCCGAGGTTGCCTACCCGTGCCCTATCCCTATCCTCCAGCGATGGATGTCTACAGAGATTCTCCGTCATCCAGGTCATGGTTGTCCCAAAGGTGCTTTTTCAGGAGGCAATTGGACTTCCTTTGTTTTCTTTGAAGACGTTTCGCTTCTCATCCAAGAAGCTTCTTCAGCTCTGACTGGACACTGGGGAGTGGAAGGATTTATACTGCGAGAGTAGGAATGGATTTCCAGAAAACATTGCAGACTACAGGAACCATTGGAGCTTCAGTTTGAGATTCAGACCACCCAGACTCATCCCCAACAGCCTGCGCCTGTCTTCAACCGTGAAGGGACCCAGGGCAGAAAGCATCCTGCAGCCAAGAAGGCTCCACACCCATTTGCACTACTCAGGGGACCCTGAGGACACAGGTCAACCTCCAGGTGGCCTCAACGACCCTCTAAAAGGATGCAAACGACCAGCTGTCTGCAAGGAGTATAAATCCTGCCATCCAGCCAGAGCTGAAGAAGCTTCTTGGATGAGAAGCAAAACGTCTTCAAAGAAAACAAGAAAGTCCAGTTGCTTCCTGAAAAAGCACCTTTGGGAGTCCAGGAGCAATGCAAACAATCAAACAAAATCCACACGGCCGACCAGCGCTGCAAAGCCCCAACCACGATGTAACCAAAGAAGAATAAACGCCCAATATTCACCTCAAATTTGCTCATGAATTCGGCAAAAATACCAAAGAAATCCTCAGAGGTTGTGACTTTGGAGTCTTCCCCAAAGAAGGACGAGACCTTCCTGAACTCCTCCATGGCTTTATGCTGGAGATGATCCAGGGACTGGACGGTGGGATCTGCGCTCTCCAGGAAGGCCTGCAGCGGCGGGCTAAGGATGGACAAACGCCTGCTTGCTTTTTACATCAAGAAAAAACTGATTCTAAAAATGCAGAGTGGCCCACACCTTCTTACATTCTCAACTATCCAGGCAGAAAAAAAGAGCCGGTTTGGTACTGTGATTATAAGGCCCCTGGCTAGAAACTGGGAGACTTCGAGCTCCAGTCCCACCTGGGGCATGAAGGCAGGACAAGAAGCAACGGGTGGAAACTGATCAAGGAGAGAAGCAACCTAGAACTAAGGAGAAACTTCCTGACATTTAGAACAATTAACCAGTGGAACAACCTGCCTCCAGAAGCAGTGAATGCTCCAACACTGGAAGTTTTTAAGAAGAGACTGGACAGCCATTTGTCTGAAATGGTATAGGGTTTCCTGCCTGAGCAGGGGGTTGGACTAGAAGACCTCCAAGGTCCCTTCCAACATCATCATCATCATCATCATCATCATCATCATCATCATCATCATCATCATCATCAGGGGACTGGAGGCTAAAAGATACAAGGAAAGGCTGCTGGAATTGGGTATGTCTAGTGTAACGAAGAGAAGGACAAGGGGGGACAGGATAGCAGTGTTCCAGTATCTCAGGGGCTGCCCCAAAGAAGAGGGGGGGGTCAAGCTATTCTCCAAAGCGCCTGAAGGCAGGACAAGAAGCAATGGATGGAAACTAACCAAAGAGAGAAGCAACCTATAACTAAGGAGAAACTTCCTGACAGTGAGAACAATTAACCAGTGGAACAACCTGCCTCCAGAAGCAGTGAAAGCTCCAACACTGGAAGTTTTTAAGAAGAAACTGGACAGCCATTTGTCCGAAATGGTATAGGGTTATCTGCCTGAGCAGGGGGTTGGACTTGATGACCTCCAAGGTCCCTTCCAACTTTTTTTTTTTTTTTTATTATTATTATTATTATTATTATTATTATTATTATTATTATTATTATTATTATTATTATTATTATTATTATTATTATTATTATTACTACTACTACTACTACTACTACTACTACTACTACTACTACTACTACTACTACTATTAAGCCAGCCAGTCACTCTTTCACAGCCCTAGGAAGGAGGCAATGGCATTCCGTAAAACACCTTGCCAAGAAAATTGTAGGGATTAATCCGGGCAGCTCAAAACTGACTTGAAGACATACACACAAAGGTAAGCAAAGCACCCAGCTCCGAAGCTGTGCTTCTTTAGAGGGACCTCTCTGGTACTACAAATGTACATGGGGACTCATTTAGCTCCGATCCACGGCTACGAGCCACGGGTCACTCCGTTGTCTGGGGTGGGGGCAGTTCTTGGGGTGAGAGAGGGACAAGCAAATGCACCAGTCTCTCCCGGGGGAGATAAGAAGGAGGAAAGAGCAGAGGCTCTAACCCAGGGGTAGGCAACCTTGGCTCTTTTATGACTCGTGGACTTCAACTCCCAGAATTCCTGAGCCAGCCACGCTGAGGGGAAAGGGAGAGATTTCCAAGCTGAGTCATGCCGGCTCAGGAATTCTGGGAGTTGAAGTCCACGAGTCATAAAAGAGCCAAGGTTGCCTACCCCTGCGAGTCTAACCTAAGAGGGGACACTTTCAACTCTCCTCCAGCACCCAATTTGTGACACCCCCCACTATTCACACCACCATAATTTGGTTACAAAATTACTGAATCTGGGCAACATTCACCTACCCCCCCCTTCCAATGTAGGGCAGATATTTTCAATGCCAGCCTGAAAGAAAAAGAAATTCAGCCCAGATGTGTCTTAGAAGTCCTTTAGTGGTATTTGGGGGATGATAAGAGTAGCAAAGGGAGCAGAAGGCTTCTAGGTGATTAACCTTTCTGCTTCCAGACATAAAAATGCTGGAAAAACAGCAGTTTTGTCATAGGAATGAGTAGGGTTAGGGTTAGGGTTAAACCCCTCAGAAGCCTCCCACCCTCTTCAGTCCCCTATATCTGGGCCCATCCATTCTAGTGACGTCATCAGTCAACTGCCTCTGGTCCTCCAGGAGATCCAAAGATGTTTTAAAGTTCTTAGACATTCCTCCCCCGCCGCCCCATCTCTCAGTCTAGCTTAGGGGTAAGCAACTTTGGCTCTTTTATGACTCGTGGACTTCAACTCCCAGAATTCCTGAGCCAGCAGGACTCAGCTTGGAAACCTCTCCCTTTCCCCTCAGCATGGCTGGCTCAGGAATTCTGGGAGTTGAAGTCTACCAGTCATAAAAGAGCCAAGGTTGCCTACTCCTGCTCTAAACTAATAAAGTCGACATTAATTAACGTTAATTATGCTTTCATATGTTCCTCTAGGTCAGGAGTAGGCAACCATGGCTCTTTTATGACTCGTGGACTTCAACTCCCAGAATTCCTGAGCCAGCATGGCTCAACTTGGAAACTTCTCCCTTTTCCCTCAGCATGGCTGGCTAAGGAATTCTGGGAGTTGAAGTCCACGAGTCATAAAAGAGCCAAGGTTGCCTACCCCTGCTCTAAACTAATAAAATCTACATTAATTAATGTTAATTATGCTCTCATATGTTCCTCTAGGTCAGGGGTAGGCAACCTTCGCTCTTTTATGACTGGTGGACTTCAACTCCCAGAATTCCTGAGCCAGCAGGACTCAGCTTGGAAACCTCTCCCTTTCCCCTCAGCATGGCTGGCTGAGGAATTCTGGGAGTTGAAGTCCACGAGTCATAAAAGAGCCAAGGCTGCCTACCCCTGGTCTAGCTGCTTTTTCTTTTTCAGGGGTGGGGGGCTTCATTTATGGAACCCATATTGGAAGGCCACCCTTTTCCACGAAAAGATACATCCATCACTGGCACAAATCTGTCCTCGGGTGATGAAGGCACCATATTCTGGCAGGCGACTGCGATCTCGTGGACAGTGCGGTGAAGGTCACTGAGGTCAGCTGTTAATGTTCTCTGATTCACTGAGGGAAGAGAAACGGGAGAAGCACAGAATTTCAACAGCTTTGTGAAGCAAGGAAAGGGCTCCCTGCACTGACTCACCCATCTTGCTTTACGTAAAAAGGGACAAACCCGAAGGCGTCCTACTTCTGAGGAGGCCACCCAGCTTCCTTTCCTAGCACAGGTAGTCCTCGACTTGCAACAGTTCACTTAGCGACCGTTCAAAGTTACGACAGCGCTGAAAAAAGTGACCTACGGCTATTTTTCCCACCTGCGACCGTGGCAGCCTCCCCCATGGTCACGTGACCAAAATTCAGCCGGTTGGCAACTGATTCACATTTATGACGGTCGCAGTGTCCCGGGTTATGTAATCCCCTTTAGTGACCTTCTGTCAAGCAAAGTCAGTGGGTTACTCGCTTAACAACTGCAGTGATTCGTTTAATTGTGGCCAGAAAGGTTGTAAAATGGAGCAAAACTCACTTAACAACTGTCTTGCTTAGCAACAGAAATCTTGGGCTCAATTGTGGTCGTAAGCTGAGGACTACCTGTATCCACTTTGCCCTTGGCAGAGACTCCTAGATTCTCTCTGCCCATCAGGGGCTGATGGTGAGTGCCCATCCCTGGGTAGGGGCAGGCAGAGTCCCATACTGGAGAGGACAGCAAATGATCTGCTCAATTAAGCGTTGTGGGAACGGGTGTAAACGGGCAGACCCGGGAGGACCACTCATTCTTTCCATCCCTGTTTCCCTAAAAACCAAGTAATGTCAGAAAATAAGTCCCATCCTTTGTGATTTACCTTTGGCAGCATGTGGCACTGTGGGCAAATCCGTGGCAAAACCCAGGAGCTCTGGGAAATGTTGGCTAAGCGATTTGGCAAGGATATGCAGAAAGGTGGATTTCCCATCAACTGTTTTCGTTGTGTTCAGCTAGAATCAAGCCGAAAGAGAAGAGGAACATTTCTCAGTGACAGAGTAATTATGGTCCCTGAAGTGCTCGTGGCTGGCCAGCCCCAAAATGTGTTCCGTTATGGTGGCAAAAAAAGTTCTCCAGAAAATGAATATGATTGTTCACAATTGTTGGGTTCACACAACAAAACTGAACCAGCCACATTATTTTCATGGCCCACCTAACTCGGTTGTTACCCTGGTCAACTTTCTCTGCCCCCAGTTGGGGCTCATAAAGTGGGTTCTGTAACAACAATCCTCAAAAGTTCTTTGCAAAGTAGAGCAGCTGTCTAGGTGGTGGTGGGGGGGGGGTTTCCCATGACACAGCTATCCCAAGAGAGCTGGTGGAGCCTAAATATCACTTATTTGGTTTAAGCCCCTTAGATTCATTAGATTTACATGGCTGCCCATCTCACGTACAGTAACTCTGAATATAAAATAACAGAGTTGGAAGGGACCTTGGAGATCTTCTAGTCCATCACCTGCTCAAGCAGAAGACCTTATACCAGTGGTGGCGAACCTATGGCACGGGTGCCAGAGGCGGCACTCAGAGCCCTCTCTGTGGGCATGTGCGCCGTCGTCCCAGTCCTAGGCCTTCAGCTGGGTTTTATAAAACCTTTTCGCTTTAGGCCTCCACAGCTGTGTACAAAAAAAAAAAAAAAGTTCAATCAATCAGTCAATTTCAACTTCTTGCGGGGAAAAAAAAGGATCTTGCAAAGTTGGAATTGATTGATTGAACTTTTTAGTCCCACCCAGTCTGCCGTTACCACTGCACACACACACCCAATGGGCCACACCCAGCCAATGGGCCATACCCAGCCAATGGCCACCCGGTACCTGACGATGCATAAGTGGGTTTTGGGTTGCAGTTTGGGCACTCGGTCTCTAAAAGGTTCGCCATCACTGCCTTATACCATTTCAGACAGGTGCTATCCAGCCTCTTGTTAAAAGCCTCCAGTGATGGAGCACCCACGACCTCTGGAGGCATAGTCCTAATGTTGGGAGCCTGAAGGGGAGACTGCCGGGAAATACTGGGGTTGCAGCTTAAACTGTGAAGGAAAAGAATATTCCAACCACTTCTCTACAGTTCTAGGTGGCTAATACAAGAAAAACACCAGCAGAAAACAAAATACTAAAAAAAAAGAAAAATGACTACAAATTCCTGCAACTCGGAAACGTAACAAGCCCAAGAGAAAAGCCAGGCCTTGCAAGTTCTGTGAAGGTCAGCAGGATTAAGGCACGTCTCATCTCAATGGGCAGCTCCCGCTGTACAGAAGGCCAGCTGAGGGCACTCTGTCCCCCAAATAACCTCCCCCCACCCCACGAAGGGGGTCAAGGTAAAACCCTGCACAGAACCTCTTTTAGATCTTCTCAGAGAGCATTAACCCCTCTGCTGGCCATTCCATTGTTGATGGAGGATTTTCCATCGATGGACATTTGACATAAACGTCAAAACGGGCGCCATTTTGGTTTTGTACATGGAACGCTCCAATTTCCTTTTCCATCTTTCCAACTTACTTTGTGCATTCTAACCATGGGCTGAAATAGAACCGTTGTCATCGGTCCGTGCTATGTAAGAGCATCTAGGAATAACAGAATAACAGAGCTGGAAGGGAACCTTGGAGGTCTTCTAGTCCAACCCTCTGCTCATGCAGGAAACCCTATATCATTTCAGACAAGTGGCTGTCCAGTCTCTTCTTAAAAACCTCCCGTATTGCAGCACCCACAACATCTGGAGGGAAACCGTTCCACTGATTAATTGTTCTAGCTGTCAGGAAATGTCTTAGTTCTAGGTTGCTTCTCTCCTTGTCCCCTTAGTTTTGGGTTCTAGGGTTTTATAGCTGGCTGGATCCAGGGGCCAAATAGCACTTTGGCAGACAGAAGATATTGCCACTGTGCAGTTTTTGGCAAACGATAATTAGGGACAACTTTTTAAATAACAAAAATTTATCTTTAGTCCTAGACCCAACAATACATTGCTTTGGTATTGGGGAGAACAGATTCCTCCATTAGGCTGACTGAGAAGGCTAACAGGGATCCAAACCCCGATGGCCCCCTCCCCCTGCCATGATGGCTACTGTGGGGAGCAGCACTTTTGGTGCTTTCCAAGGCAGCCGGACCCAATGTTCAAACAGGGACAGACACATCTCCAAGATGACCCCTTGAGGGCAAATCTCCCTATAGGCAGTTTGCCAGAAATTGGCCCAAGAAGAAAGATCTTTTCGAGGCAGAAAACTGGAAAATTAAAGCCTTTCTCACTCACTGATAGATTCCTTTTCCCTGAGTAAAAAAAAAACAATCAAGGTTTTCTTCAAGCTGCTAAGAACATGCATTCAGTTTCCACAAACCATTTTGCAAATCCGGAGAGGAGCATTGTCTATAATGTAAATCACCAGGCAGTAAGTAATCCAGCCATTTGGAAATGATTTGGAAAACGTGCTTTGGACCCGTTGAGAGCCCAGCGCCTGCCTAGATCAGTGGTGGCGAACCTATGGCACGGGTGCCAGAGGCGGCACTCAGAGCCCTCTCTGTGGGCACACGTGCCATCACCCCAGTCTAGGCCTTCAGCTGGGTTTTATAAAACTTTTTCGCTTTAGGTCTCTGCCGCCGTGTGCAAAAAAAAAAAAAGGTTCAATCAATCAGTCAATTTCAACTTCTCGGGGGAAAAAAAAGATCTTGCAAAGTTGGAATTGATTGATTGAACTTTTTAGTCCCACCCAGTCTGCCGTTACCACTGCGGCCATGCCCACCCAATGGGCCACACCCAGCCAATGGGCCACACCCACCCGGCACCCGACGATGCATAAGTGGGTTTTGGGTTGCAGTTTGGGCACTCGGTCTCTAAAAGGTTCGCCATCACTGGCCTAGATCATTCATTAAAGCCGACTCAATTTTCTTTAGGCTGAAGGAGGCTAAAAGAAGATGCAGAGGCTTTTAAGAGCTGCATTCACATGTGTAGTATTTGAAGCTACGAGATTAACTCAGAAATACAAGCAGTAGCCGTCACTCCTAATCAAAGGTAGCATCTTGATGTTTTCAACAGGCGCTCCTCTGCTGGAGTCCCCCTTGAATCCTACAGGATGATTGAACTTGTGGTAGTTTCCCAGATTGGTTAGCAAGAACCCCAGATAGCATTTTAAGCTCTATAACGATTAATGAAATGGACCAGTAAGTAGCACCCTGTGTCAGACATCTGGGTCTGGTCCAGGCATCAGAGGAATATAAATATTAATAAAAGCAGAGGGCTTGAGAGAAATTTAACCTGTTCGGTTCAAATTCATTTTGCATCCTTATGCAAAGACCTTGCTCTCTGGAGAAAGCCCTAAAGGTGGAAGGAAAGAGAAGAGGACAACTGGATTACAACAGTGATGGGTGCACCACTGGGAGACCTGAAGGATCAGGTTGTGGAGGAGATCATCTGGAGAAGACCAATCTGTGTGGTTGCTAAAGGGCTTGATGACACTTAGATCCATGTTCCCTCTTTAACCCAAGGAGAGCATCCATCTAGCCAGGTTTGGAGGCCACCTACCTCTGTGAGGAAGTTGATTTTAAAGCTGGTTGTTTTGTTGGTTTGGGGTTGCCCGTGGTTTAGGTAGTTGCCCATGGCCAGCACAAACTGCAAAAAGAGAGTTTCTGGTGAATCACAGGTCAGAGAAAACCACCCCATTCATTATCTCTCTTCCCATTTCTGCCTTATCTGTTGGTGCTGAACTAACAGCTTTCAGTCCTGGTTCACACAACAGGCAGAGATATGGCAGGTAGAGACTTGCCATACACATTGCACGCACAGGATTTATGCCCGTCCTAGAGCCCTGCCTGCTCAAAGCCCAGCCAGAAGAGGCAATGTCTAGGCTGAGTTTTACACACTAGAAATGAGGCGGCTGGGATGATTCCATGTCCCAGGAAAGCCAGAACTGTAAAGGGACTTGGTGGCCATCTAGCCTATCCTCTGCCTCTTGCTCACTCCAGACCGTGCTGTGCCTTTCCTTTTTGCCTGGCGGTGCTGCACATGTGCAAAGGAAGAAGGAAATACTGTGAATTTTCACAAAATCAGTCAATCGTGACTTACGCAATCAAACTGTCAGAGTTTGCACGACGCGCTAAGCCATAAACACACCATACAAGCTATGTTTGCACAACATGCAGGCTGAAATACAGGTTGGATTATATGAGGCTGAACACATCCACACATCCCCGGTGCGTTTGTTTTGAGGACAAGATTGCATAGCGTTACCCTCCCTCACCCTCAACTCTAGAAGGAGGCAGGGATAGTGAAGAGATTATTAATTGATAAAAGAGACAGTACCGGTAGTCTAGTCCTCAATTTAAAACCGTTCATTTAGCAACTGTTCGAAATTACGACAGTGCAGGAAAAAAAAGTGTCTTAAGACTGGCCCTTACACTTACGACTGTCACACAATCCCTGCAGTCACGCAGTTACAATTTGGGTGCTGGGCAATTGGCAAGCAGTTCAACAGTTGCAGCATCTCAGCATCTTGTGATCGCCATTTGCAAACTTCCCAGCCAGCTTCCGACAAGCCCAGGCAATAGGGAAGCTGGATTCACTTAACACAGGGGTCTCCACCCTTGGTAACTTTAAGACTTGTGGACTTCAACTCCCGGAATTCCTCAGCCAGCTTGGCTGGCTGAGGAATTCTGGGAGTTGAAGTCCACAAGTCTTAAAGTTGCCAAGGTTGGGGGAACCTCTGACTTAACAACTGTGGCAAAAAAAAAGATTGTAAAATCGGGCGCAACTCGCACAGACTGCCTCCCTAAGGGAAAGTTGGCACAGCTTCCCAGTATTTCTGCTGCTCTCACCCCTGCAGTGCCACTCTGCCATCTTCACTGGGGGTGCACTGAGTGACAGGGAAGCAAACTGGTTTTTCCAGGGCGGGGACAGGGGCCTCAAACCTTTCCCCCCCACACACACACATTTGGTCCTTGGCCACTGGGAGGGAAGCAGAGAGCTGGTCCTTGGCCCTTGGTGACCAGTTTTCTGAGTCGCCCTCTTGGTTCGAGGCTGGCAGCGGGAGAGGCCCAGTCCTGGCACGGCCCCGGAGTCGACCGTTTCTCCCCTCTCCTTCCACTTCTGGTGTGGGCAGAGTCCTCATCTGCTTTGTTCCCAAGGCAGAAGAGGGTCAGCAGTGCAAGCAGGCCTTCTTAGTTTTGCCAGGGCAGCATATTTTGGGGCTGTGATGCAGAACAGCCCTCCAGGTGTTGTGTGAACCCAGCCAGTCGCTCAAGTGAAGCGCCCTCAGCTCTCCAGATCAGAAGAGTTTGGAAGGCCTGGTAGATCATTCATAGAGGAGCTTCAGGGGAGGGGGGAGTTGAGGGGGGCAGGCCCCAATGCTCCTCTACATCCAGAGGGCCCCAGGGTAGGGTTCCCCCCTTCTCAGCTCCATAGCAAGCCTCCAAAGAACGTCATCGCTCTCTGGGAATCCTCAGAAGCTGGCCCAGCTTCAGGAGACGCCGAAGAAATACCAGATCAGGAACCCCCTGCACCGGGTCCGCCACTAGAGAGCCTTCCATGCCAGGCACGGGAACTGGGTCAGGAGAGCTCCATATCTGCTGAACCGACGGGGACAGAGGGCTCCAGGGCTGGCCAGGCAGCACGTCTCCCTCCTAACCTTGAGTTAATTGATAGCCAGCCAAGGAGGGAGCTGTTAACCAAGTGTTCTTTATGGCGTTTTGAGTGGGTGCAAGGTGTCATTGGGAATTCTTCTGTGTGCCGTTGCGTGTTTTGCTCCTGGGGACCAACTCCTGTTGCACATTAATGCATGTTCTGAAGCTCCAGGGTGGCTTCTCTTCAAAGGAAGACAGCTTTGGGGGGTTGCAGTCAATCAGAACAGAGTTGGAAGGGACCTTGGAGGTCTTCTTGTCCAACACCTTGCTCCAGCAGGAAACCCTATACCATTTCAGACAGGTGGCTGTCCTGTCTCTTCTTAAAAACCTCCAGTGGTGGAGCACCCACACTGAAAGCAAGCCATTACACTGATTAACTGTTCTCATTGTCAGGAAGTTTCTCCTTAAGTCCAGGTTGCTTCTTTCCTTGATTAGTTTCCATCCATTGTTTTTTGCTTTGCCTTCTAATGCTTTGGAAAATAGGCTGACACACACAGCCCTTCTTTGTGGCAGCCCCTCAAATATTGGAACACTGCTATCATGTTTATACAACAGAGGCAACAGCTCAAGGAGGGGAGAAGCAGAAGCCCCTCTCTGCTTTTGGCTCCAAATGGTGTTTGCAAGCAATTTGGACCTCTGGGGCTGTGGTTTATCTTGCATGTTGGAGGGAGCAGGCAGACCTTAGTCCAGCGGTCTTCAAACTTGGCGACTTTAAGACTTTAAGATGGCAGAATTCTGGGAGTTGAAGTCCACAAGTCTTAAAGTCGCCAAGTTTGAAGACCCCTCCCTTAGTCCTTCACAAATCAGGGCAGTAGCACAGCCAAACTACCCTTTTACTTTGTAGGTAGCATCTCTGGACACTGCAGGGATCGCCCAACATGCAGGACTAAAACACGGGATCCATAACTGTAGTGATTGCAGGCAGGGAGAAACCAGAAACATAGGAAAACCCTACCCAGAATTCTAGCCTTCCATGCTCCCCTCCTTGTGGGGAAGGGCCAAGCTGTCCACCTAAGCAACCTCTCAGTATCTCTTCCATTGCCATGGAGGCTGTCCAAAGCACATCTGCAGGAGACCACAGGGCTGAGCTACAGGGTGCTCGGCCTCCAACTGGCACCATCCCAACCAGCATGGCCTCTGCTGGGGATGGCAGGAGTTGAAGACCAAGAGATTAGAGCGGCCTCCCTGAAGAAGACTCTGTAAGAACGACCCTCTCTTCACTTCCTTCCAGAAAAAATCAGAAGCTTTATATATCAACAGAAGTGAAAGGAACACTGAGAAAACAAGAGCCACAAAGAATAGCAGTATCGTGCAGATGTCAGAGAGAGAAAGAAAGAGAGACGGAGAGAGGGGGGGGGGAAGGAAGAAAGAAAGAAAGAAAGAAAGAAGGCAGAGGGGGGGAAGGAAGGAAGAAAGGAAGGAAAGAAAGAAAGAAAGAAAGAAAGAAAGAAAGAAAGAAAGAAAGAAAGAAAGAAAGAAAGAAAGAAGGCAGAGAGGGGGGAAGGAAGGAAGGAAGTAAGGAAGGAAAGAAAGAAAGAAAGAAAGAAAGAAAGAAAGAAAGAAAGAAAGAAAGAAAGAAAGAAAGAAAGCAGAGAGGGGGGGAAGGAAGGAAGGAAAGAAAGAAAGAAAGAAAGAAAGAAGAGGGGGAAGGAAGAAAGGAAGGAAAGAAAGAAAGAAAGAAAGAAAGAAAGAAGGCAGAGGGGGGAAGGAAGAAAGGAAGGAAGGAAAGAAAGAAAGAAAGAAGGCAGAGAGAGGGGGGAAGGAAGGAAGGAAGGAAAGAAAGAAAGAAAGAAAGAAAGAAAGAAAGAAAGAAAGAAAGAAAGAAAGAAAGAAAGAAAGAAAGAAAGAAAGAAAGAAAGAAAGAAAGAAAGAAAGAAAGAGACAGAGGCGGAAGAAGAGGCAGACTACGATGGAACTCTTTGCACCCTGAAAGTCTGGGAACTGCCAACGGGTGGCTGAGCAGAAGGAAGTGGTGGCCCTCTGGTGGCCACTACTAGCAACAGGAACGTTCTTTGACCGACCTCCAAGATTTTGGCCAGTTTCTTGCTATTCTTCAGTTCCAGGGAAGCCTTGTAGATGCACTCATAGCTGGCCGTAATCTCCTCCACCTTCTCCTGCAGGGTCGTCTTGAAGTGAAGGCTGCCCAGGCGGATTTTATATTCAGGCACCAAAAGCATCTGGAAGGGAAGGAAAAGAAGGGGCAAAGGAAGACCATCACACCTGAGGCCACCTAAAGTACAGGAGGGAGGAGGGCGAACATGAAATACACCGCCTTGCCTGAGACCCCACCCATCGTTCTGCTGATAAAAATGGGGCCTCTGGCTTCAGAGCAGAAGTGGGGAAAGGCCACATGAAAAGGAGGAAGCAAGATGGGGCAAGATGGGTGTTCTGGATCAGCCAGTTAGATGGGTCTGTATGTTAGAATGTTTGGCATTTATAAGGTTAAGCGCTGTCTCCTTAAGAGATGGCTTATGGGTAATGTAGTTTAGCTATTCAGTAAATCCCATGTTAACAGGTCAGTAGGAGGGGCTACTAAGTTCATCACAGGATATCCTGGCTACGTGCCAGTTTGGAATGTCTTTGTCTGAGATAAGTATGGCAATACCGGAGGATAGACACAGCCATAATCCACGTTAGAAGTTGATGTGAAGGAATTATTGATTTTTACCTACAAAGATGGACGATATGTAATATCCAGAAGAAACTACATAACCGTGAGTTTGCAAGTACTCCTGGATTAAATATTTGTTTAAAGCTATCTTTGTTGAGTCATCTGTCTGATCTTGAATTGCAAAGCATCTCAGTTCAGGTATCAGAACAATGGGGGCTGCTCCCCCCAACTGCCACTGAGCATGCCAACGTTTCTTTACAGGCCAGCAAAAGGGTCCGTGCTTGTTAAACACCCACACACACAGCCTCAGCCACATTTGCCAGAGCCCCACATTCATCTTGGTTTTGTTCTGTCCCCGTCCGTCCGACCCACACACCCAAACAGCCAGCCGTGGATTAAAGACTTCTCCAGACACCACTTCACAGATAAGAAACTTGGCAGCAGCTCCGTAGCTGCCTGCCAAGACCTTTTACTCCAAGCACACAGAAACAAAAAACAATACACACAGTTTAAAGCCACAGCAAACTACTTCGCCAGAGATTCAGCTTTTGTCCGTCACAGAGGTCCAAATGGCCACCACCACCCTTTTATAGCCTGTGGGGTGTGGTCCAGTGACTCAGCTTAATCTCTGGCACGTCTCCTTTTCTGCTGCACACGCTTGTCGCTCCTACGCTGGTGTGGATCTAGCCACAACTTCTCTTCCTCATTATCTGACACACCTGGCTCCTGGCCAATCTCAGAAACACCTGGCTCCTGGCCAATCTCAGAACCACCTGACTCCTGGTCAATCTCTTCTCCGTCGGGACACACATGAGGCATTGCCAAAGAGGAGGGTCCTGGAGAGGGAGGCCTAGCCATCTCCTCTCCTTCATGTTCGGAGCCTTCTTCCTCCGATAAGAGGGGCTCACAAGACGGAGCCACAACAGGTTTATCCTTGGTCGGTGATTTGTGTTACTCCGACACCAATCACTCCGAAGAGGTTTTCCACGGACAACGCACCCGTCGCCAGGCTTTTCGGGGGGCTGCTAAAAAAAATCCACATGGCCCCCAACGCCCCATCGGACCCCTCCCGGCTCTCCCCAGCAGAAGACTTCGCTCACTCACCTGCAGGACAAACTGGTCCGGCTCGCTCAGCTTGCTGGGGTCGCCCTGGTAGCTGTGGAAGCGCTGCACCTCCTGGGCATCAGGCGCGAAGAGCAGCAGCTGCTTGAGGTGAGAGGCCTCCAGGCGGTCGCTCTCCATGCTCAGGAGGATCTGGCGCAGCTTGATGTGGGAGAGCTTAAGGTGCGCAATCAAGATGGCTGGCCGAAGGAGGAGAAGGCATCAGCGGGGATGCTGGGCGTGCCTTGCCGAAGCGGCTTTGGTTTCGGGCCAGGACCAGCCAGGACCACATGGATGGCCCCCCTCCCTCCAGCAGGGTAGCACTAAGTCTCAATTGTTTGCCCCCCCCCCAGTGATTTTTGAATGAGGGTGATGGCACTTTCTGCCAGAGACCTTTTTATTCTTTTATCATCGAAGGTTTTCAAGAAATGACTGGAGGGCCCATTGTTCAGAGTGACATGAGGATTCCTGCACTGGGTAGGAGGTTGCTATAGAAGACCTCCAAGGTCCCTTCCAATCCTCTGACTGATCTCTTACCTTTCTTCCAGGAGTTTGGGATGGTGTTGGTAACTGCAGGATGTAGTCAAAAAGATCAAGATGGTGGCCGCAATGGGGCAATCCAAACACCCCATATTTTTTTTATGTGCAGCACATCCCCTTGATCTTTTTGGCCACACCTGTGGACACCCCCAGCTTGGGCAAAGGCTCCCTCTGCCTGTCCAGTGCCCCGAGGTCTTCTCCGCACCCTCCTGGCCCGCTGGCTGTTACTCACCTGTGTTGTAGGCCTTTTTGTGGGACAGAATCTCAACCAGGTGCTTTTTTTTAAGGGGCTCCGGCAAGGGGCTGGGCTCTGGAAGAGAAACTGAAAGATGTAATCTGAGATAAGGAGAGGGTTCAAGAGGCCTTGGGAAAGAGAAACATGAAGCTGTGGGACTGGCGTGACATGTGTTGGGCCACCTGGACGCTCCTGGCGGGCAGACACAGCATCCCAGGGCAAGGCGGAATCTCCGAGTCAAAGGCATGAGATACTCAGAACCCTCTTAGCTCCCCATTGCTTCTTGTGGGGGGAGGGGGAGGAAGACTTCTCATCTTCACTGCTCACAGCCTAAACCAGTGGTTCTCAACCTTTTTAATGCCGCGACCCCAACCGGTCGTAAGTCGAGGACTAAACCGGTCGTAAGTCGAGGACTAAACCAGTTGTAAGTCGAGGACTAAACCGGTCGTAAGTCGAGGACTACCCAACCAGTCGTAAATCGAGGACTTTCCCTGCCCGGGAGCACCGCGCATGCATGATTCCGCCCCCTGCGCCGGCCGAGGCATAGCTGGCAAGCGGCAGAGACGGAGCAGGCCGACCACCAGCTGGCCCAGCCCAAGGGAGGTAAGGCACCCACCGGAAAAGGGGAAAAAATGGCGGACAAAAAAAATGGCGGAACCAAAAAATGGCGGACAAAAAAAATGGCAGACAGCCTTGCTTGGCGACCCCCGTGAAATGGTCGATCGACCCCAAATGGGGTCCCGACCCACAGGTTGAGAACCACTGGCCTAAACCTCTTCACTTGGCTTCCCCAACTGGTCACCTTTGCCTTCTGCCCAAGGTCTCCCCTGGCATGACCAGCCCCAGTCCGAGGCTCAGAAGGAGAATTTGTTTCTCCCTGTTGAGAAACCCAGCAGCAGACAAAATAATCTGCCTCCAAACATAGAGGCAGCCTGCCTTCGAAAATCAGTTCTGGATGGCAATGGTGAGGATGGTTGTGGTCTCGGTGGGCTTCCAAGAGTTATAAGGAGAAGCCCAAGCACTGCTAAATTTGTGAGAGACTAACTTCCCAACGGCTATAAGGAAGTCTCTTTCAGCTTCAAGGTTCCTCTTCGTATGGGAATAATGATTACAGCCAAACGTATTTATTTGTTTATTAGTTAGTCAGAGAACCAGTTTAGTGCAGTGGTTACAAGGTGCTCTCTCAGCCCCAGGAAGGAAGCAGTGGCAAAAAAAGCTCCTGAAAAATCTTGACAAAGAAACTGAAGGGACAAGTGTAGGCAGTCACCAGGAGTCAAAAATGGACTAGAAGGCCCAAACAAGAAGTGAGTGATTTCCTGGCGCTCAAGGCATTATACTTTTGATCCCCGTTTTTCTTTAAACAGCCCGCCTGTCAGGTAGGTTGGGTGGAGAGAGAGCATGACTGGCCAGCGTGACCCCGTCAGCTTCTCTGGCCACAGGTGGGTTTGAACCTGAGCCACCTGCCTCTTCATCTAAACCTGCAACTTGCAAGACGCTGTAAGGCTCACTGCCATGATGGACATCCCATTTGCTGAACGACAGAAAGGGGCTCCCCCAACCTCTCCTAGTCAGACTCTGAGTGACCACTCCAGCGACATCCAGCATGGCCAGAGCAAAAGCTGGGCATTATGGGGGCTGAAGTTTGTATCACAGCTGGAGAGCCTGGGTGGCCTCACAAAAG